AGACATCTGATAAAACACTGAAAATCGATAAAAATTCGAATTTCGAGCGCTTTTACCGCCATTTGGCCTAGAAAACTCACACCTGGCCGCTAGGCCACCGGTTCCCACTTTGACTTTTCGATGCCGTTTTTCTCAATGAAGGAATTTGTTTTGATTTTTTTCTTTATTTTTATGGGGATCTACTTGGATTTCTGCACAAAATAAAGCAATAAAATTTTTCACCGCACACCACCTTTAAACAAGCATCTATGGAATTCTTCAATGTGAACCCTATTGATGGGGTACTGTACAAAGCGAAGCTTTCATGCAATATGACTAATGGACTATTCTATGGGAGTTATTACTATGTGACAATGACTGATAATTACCATGTTGATTGCTCTGTTTAATTGAAAGCTCGGATGAATGAAGTAATTTGTGAAGTGTTTAGATTTGTAAGGTTTGAATAGAACACGAAATTTTAAAACAGTTTCATTAGAATTTCTCAATGTTTTCCAATTTCTCAATGTCTTCCAATTTCTCAATGTTTTTTTTTCAAAACCAGAAAACCATGACACCTCTTGTGATCTTTTATCTTTTTTCAACCTTTTAACAACAAAAGAACCCCACCCATCCATCTCATTCATATTCAAATTTCTTCAATATCACCTATAACTTTCTCCCCATTCTTCAAAAAGTTTATCTTCAAATGATTTGGTTCCTCTTGCTCCTTCTCCCTACGACCATACTTGGGGCAACGTGCCCAACTTGCCCCACAACTGGGTTATGGTCCGATTGGAGCACCACCGAGCAGTGTAGCACAACTTGTGGCGGATGCTCAAAAATCACTTATACCAGAACGTGTCTCTCAACTGCCATGAATTGTCCGTGTGTGTAAGTTATCAAGTTCTGGTGGAAATTTGAGCAGCATAACTAGCAATGTACTTAACGTAGGAACAGCGTAGGCTACAAGTTTAAGAACACTGTGTATCTGAAAAATTTACTAGTATGCATTTCGGCGTAACAGTGTACCTACCGCGTAGCTAAGCTCGTTACTGTAATTTGACCTGATTTCCAGCGGAGACACATCTCGACTAATGGCCTGCAATACCCAAGCTTGCAATTGGCCCCGCTTCAATGCTTCTGGAGATAACTGTTGTGATGGCAAGACAGCTCAAACCATCAAAAACTGGGTTCACTGTGTTCCCCTTCCGGATACCTACACCCTGGCTTGCTGTCCGGATGAGGGATATTGGTCGAATTGGTCCGGATGGAGTAAGGTCGCCAATCAAGTTGCGGTTAGTTTTTTTAATCCAAAAAAAAGAAAAGCTTCGATCGCGCCCAGAAAACAGTTGATTGTGCCAATAGCTGAATAGTTAGGATAAATGTGAAGTCGTATTTTTTGTGAATTTCCAGTGGCAACGTACCCGCACTTGTCTCTCCGGCGGCTACAATTGTCCATGCAAAGGCAACGCGGTGGATATTCTGACAAGTGAGTTTTGAACACATTTATCTCGGTTACGGTAGAAGATATCAAAAGGTTGTGAATTGATAAAATGTTAAGCATTAAAAAAAATATTTTGCTAATTGATCGCATTTTCAAATTGCCTACAGGACCCGAGATAATTCAAATTTAAATTGAAGACGCAATATAGAATTTGCATATTAGAAACATAATACGAATTTACTATAAACCAGAATCAAACTTTTATAAAATCAGGAAGTTGAAACTGTGAACTTTCAAAACTATCCATTTTTATTATGAAACTTTCTCATAGTCTCTTTTTTGAATTCCAATTTTTTTGAAAACAATTTGAGACCCCCAAACTTGGTAACCGTAAACGTTACAATAGAAAGGACTCCCTTAACTTTGACTCACTATAAGTTTATCTCGGTCCTTGTGAAAGATATCAAAAAAAGGTCATCTGGTGAAATGTTTATCATAATGAAATAAATTTTCCTTTTTAGCCGTTTTTTGATATCTCTCACAGGAATTGAGATAAATTGGATCAAAGTTCAAGGTTAGGAAGGGCCGCCGGCGGCTGAAATACGGTCGAAACATGAAGACCTTCAGTTATTGGATCTTTCAATATTGCTCTATGCTATGCCCTCTAAATGACTTCATATTTCAGCTTGTCCTTGTACCAAGGGTGTCGGTATCATCACTGTTGCAAACAACACATGTCAAGCTATAAACAACAAGCTAATACCATACTCGGTCCGCACACCGATCTACATGCCGTACGAGTGCAAAACTCAAATCGTTTTCGAATTATCCTCATTCCGTCAAGCATTTTACACCTCTGACGATAACGGTGTTATTACAGGAGCATTTAGCTATGTCGACACAACTGGAAAGTGTACAGCAAAAGAGTTTGTGAATCCGGTACCGGATGGGGCGCTCTTGGGAACCGGCCAGTTCCAAAACTATTATCTCCAGTGCAATCTGAATGACCTCACTTGGGAGGGAACTATTGTTGGGATAGCTGTGTCAAAAGTAACCGCTTTTGCTCAGTATTACTAAAATATTGTTACAAGAATAAATCAATTTCAATCTCATTTGTTTTCATGTTTGATTTGAAACCTGTTTTTTATTGCACATACTATTTTTTTAACATCAAAGTTTATCTATTTGAATTTTCCGTTTTTTAGGCATGAGCAATTATCAAATCATCATTTTGGATCCGGAACCAGTCCCATTTGTTAATACCTGTTTCAGAATGTAGGTATCAGTTTTATCTCTCATTCTGGACATTCTCTCAGACATTCTCTCATATCTTTGTAGAATTTGTTATATCATTTTTGCTGTGTCTACGCCACTGCTCTGGCTGTTCTTGCTCATTCTCCCAATGGATGTTCATGGGGCAGTTTGTCCAACTTATGGTCAAGGAAATGGGACATAAGGGAAGAATTTCAGTTTTAGAACTTCTATTTTCTAACCTACCAATTGCAAGCAATGATACGTGAAAGAGGTTTTCCGATAATTTTGAGCGAATTTACTGTTTTAAAAAGTTCTGCAAATAATGTTTCGGTGTAAAAGTACTTGAGACAGACACAATTTTTCAATGTTTCGAAATTATGACAAGAGCTAGTGAAACTGATTTCATCATTATATTGTTGGCTTCTTTTAAATATCCTGTATAGCTTCCACGCAAGCTCCTTGTTTAGTAGAGCTCGTGGACCATATACTGGAGGTGCCGCGTTGCTACCATCTGAGCTACGCGGTCGCAAAGTCACCTGCCCAACGATGGCGTTATTATCTCGCTTCGTTCAAAAGATATTGAAAGTCTGAAAACTAACAAATTGTTCGTCACTATATCACCAACATTTCATCAGCTGACGGGTTTTTGAAATCTCTTACAGAAATTGAGGTAATTCAGCTCGAAGGACCATTCTTGATTTATTGAAAATATTTCAAAACAAAATAATTCATTTTTAGCATGAAACAGAAATTATTGAGTGGCAAATGTAAGCTCATAATAAACTTTTTTGGGAAGCTTCTTTAGTTGTTTTGCCACATTTGTATCCATTTCTTTCTTCGTTTGATTCAGGTTGCTGGTGATTCCTGGAAATCGCAACTTTCCAATTTTTACTGATTCAATATGTCCCTTTAACTTTACATTTTCCTCAAAATCCATTATTCGGAATCATGTCATTCTCTTACCCCTAACATGCTTATCAGCTTGCTGCGCTTCTGGTGATAGCTGAGCGACAATCACCGACATCCTCTGGTCCTCTTGCTCTTGCAATGTTTGTTTTTCAGCCATGTACTGAGTGTATAGTCCCTGAAAAACCCTGATTTTTTGAAGGAAATGGGCCCATTTCCAGCTCACATTCACCGGATTTCCGCATCTTAATGCCCAGTTCGTCAGAGCCTTTTGTTTCATTTCCATTGTCAAATTTGGGTTTCCTTCTAGCTCAATATATTCTTTACGTTGGCTGTCGGTGGCTGAGTTGAGGAATGCTGGTGTGTCAATCATGGTTTCGATTTCAGGGGAAGCTGAAAAATGGGTCGACAATTCTAATATTAGAGCTTCTCAAACCATAATGTTATGAACTTCATGAAACAGTAAATTTAGGATTGTTTTTTTTTAAATAACGTTTTTTTGAAAAAATAATAGATCTGTTTCATACACTTGTCAATGTTAGAAACCGTTTTTTTCCAAATGTTTTGATATTTATGAACTACCGTATTTCCTCTAATTGAAGCCCATAGGCTTCTATTTTTCAACCTCCTTCTCAGGAAATTACCAAAAACGGAAATCACCGGAATATTTTTTTTAAAGAAGGCAATGTCTGCAATAATCGAGTAAACGAACTCCTCTGTAACAACGGCACTAACTGAACTGCACGAACTTCTGTTTGAAGTTGCGCTTCTATGTTTTTAAGCACGTCGGGGGTGGGCTTCTATTAGAGGTGGGCTTCAATTAAAGGTGTGCTTCTATTAGAGGAAATACGGCATACATACGTACACTTCTTTGAGCTCAATTATCTCGATTCCTCTAAAAAATATTAAAATTTTGTCAATTTACAAAATGTTGGTGATATTATCACAAATATTTTATCAGTTGACAAATTTTTGATTCTGTTTCTTGGAGCTGAGATTATGGAGCTTCAGATTAAAAGTGGCGCGCCACTGATTGTGAGCTACTTCGTCTGGTTGCCAACAAAGTAGCTGACTGATAACCAAAAAAAAGGTGAAAACATCGATGACTGTACACCGTCCTGTCTAAATGCAGAATTCTCCTGTTCCCAATTCAAGAATCAAATAACTAATTACCAAAAACAGTTGAATTTTTTATGATATTGATAAAACAGGAAATGTTATTGAAAATCTGTTTCAGGCACTTGTCAATGTTAGGAACTGTTCGTTCAATTATTTTGATATCGAATTGAACTACTTCTATACTTTCCCTTTTAGTTCAATTATCTCGATTCCTGTAAGAGATATCAAAAACTTGCTAACTAATAAAACGTTGGTGATATTATGATTAACATTTTATCAATTGTCAAGTTTTCGATATCTCTTCTAGGATTTGAGATAATTGAGCTCAAAATGATTTAAATTAAAACTCACCAGTGCTAGACAAAATTACTGGCATCACTGCGGCATCCTGTGCATGCCCAGTGCTCATTAAAAATGAAGAAAATAACAGGAATATCATCATTTTGCTATAGATTTTGAAAATTTTTCACACAGTGAATAAAACCAAAAAAAAACGAAAGATTGGCAAGTTTTTTTTTCATCGTCATCATTCGAATCGATGGGATTATCCCTTGGTCGTCATTTGTTAAGTTCAATGTATTATTTTATGTGGGCTGGGTAGAGAAAAAAACGATTTTAGAAACATTCCTGGTTTTGGTTTTTGAAATCATCAGAATTCAAAATAAATCCTGCTGAAAGATCAGAGAAAAATGGATCTCCGGAAATTTACGAAAAAGAAGAAACAGAAAAATTTTGGGATGTTCAGAAATTCCACGCGATGGTTCGGAGTGAATTTCAGAGTATGAACATGGAACGTAGACTCAACTAGTTGGTTTGGAAACTAATAATAATTTGGATCTACGAAATTCGAAAAAAAAACATACCGTAAAACCTCTAATAGAACGACACCCGGATCGTCCACTTTGAGCCTATATATCTCATTTTCTGTGAAAGATATCAAAAAGTGGTAGA